TTAATGTGATTTAGGTAGTAGCTGAAGTATTCTATATATCTCTTTTGGCTGGGTATTGTGACACCCTATTACAAAGCAAATAATAAAACAATCACAAATTAATACCATTTGTTTATGCTAAAAAAGAATTATTTAAAATGCGATAGTGGTATAGTGGTAGACCGTTTGCTTCATGAGCAAGAGACTCCGAGTTCGATTTCCACTACGCCCCTGGTAGTAACATGAACTTTGACATACCTCCCTTGTTCATCAAAGTTCATGTTTTGAAGTTTTAGAGTGGAGAAAGGGTTATAACCGCAATTAAGTAATCCTCTTATCTGTCGTCCTTATTTTTTTCTTTTTTTTTTTTAACATTCTCGCTTCCAACAAGGCTGCAAGCAACCACTAATTAGTGTTGGAATTTACTGGAAGAAAGAATATAAAGTTTATAGAGAAAGATAATGATTGACAGATGACTTCAAAGATTGCAAATTATATGAATCAGGAATGCAGGATGAAGCAAGCGAATTCCAAACTCAAGGAAAAAACTAGAGGAATAAGAGTTTTTGGAGCACTTAGGAAAAGTCACAGAAAAAAGATGAGACTTGGTTGAATGGCGAGTAACACAAGAATGAATTTTAGTAGATGGCATAAGAGACACTAGCTCTTAACAGCAGTATCAATTGAAGCATTGTTGGAAAAGAGAAAGAGAAATAACATTACGATGATGTGATAATGGTTGGAGGTTGGCGGCAAGAGCAGGTCCAACTATGTTTACAATGCGTTTTTGCACCTTGCTTAAAAGAGAAAGAGCATAATTGGACGATCCACTTCAGATGTGGCAACAGTATTCCATACAATAATGGATTTAGGATTTATAGAAATAAAGAATAGAATATGGAGTAAGAGAGTGTCGAACACGAAAAAAAAACCAAAATATAATAGAAGTAGAGAAAAGTAATTTTAGAATTATTATTTTTTATAAATCAATTTTTTTTTAACTTGTTTAAATTTACATAATGTTTAAAGAGATGCAACCTTAGCAGATACTAATTTTGCAATTGATTTGATATATGGTTTCCATAAAGATCGGAAGTAAGAGTTAATCCTAGAAGATGAAGGGTGATGACTCATTGAGTACATTACCGCTCATAAATATTGGAAGATCTGCATTATTGCAATAATTATTTGCTGAAAAAAATTTTTTTTTTTTTAATTAAAGTTCACCAGCCACTGTGGGTTCCATGCTGTAGCAGAAGTGAGATCCTTTTCAAGCTCAAATGCCCCCTCCGAGCAATCAGAGAGTGTTGGCTTTTTATCATGACAAGAACAAATGGTAGTATCATCAGCAAACAATGCCACCTCAGAAGTGAGAATATCTGAAAAAGTGAGAATATCTGAGAAACAAGACATAAGTCAAGTAGAGAAGGTAAATGATATGAGTTGTCTGGAAAGTGAGTTGGAAAGTTGACTATTTGAGTTAGGGATTGAAGAAGGCATAATTTGTGGGCTTTAATGCCTGCAGAGTCACAGTCTAGAGCCAAGCCATTCAGTGTGATAAACATTAAAATCACAAACAACAACAATATTGGCTGATGGATAAAGAAAGAAGGCTTGGTTAATATGATCAGAAATATTATCAAGAAGAGTGCAGTCTTGAGATGAAGGAGAGCGATATAGAACAAAGAGAAAGTTGATAGAGTGAAGTGGTGCTAAGCGAAAGCACATAAAAGAGTAGTCTGTGGGTTCAAAACAAGTTTGCGAAAAATGAGTGAATTCTTACGAATATAAATGCCCAGGCCAAGCATGTGACTATTGGAGTCTTAACAAATTAAAGGAAGATAACCAACACTAAGATCACAAGATGAGACAGCTGAACTCAAATTAGTCTCACAGAGAGCAAGTAGGTCTAGTGAACTTTGCAAGAGATAAGACTCAACAGAAGAAAAGTTACTTTGAAGACCACGAATATTGGTGAATGATAGGTTTAGCGAACTTGGTGATGACTGTGGTTTTTTGTGTTTTATAGTTTTTGTTACTTTATTCATTTTTAAATTTGTTAAAGAACTTGACTCGAAACATAGATAGTACTTAGTACACTATTTAATAGCCCAAGCAATTGCCTTATTACTATTAATAAACCTTAAGCCGTAACAAAGGGCTCCAATGTGGCCTTGGCAATGCCTGAGCAATGAGTTGCCTAGTCATAAAAACAGAGACACAAGCAAAACCCATGCATCGAGTCAAGAAGATCCAGCATTCAACATCCTAAACTGGAAACAATGTATTAAAAATACATCTGCGCCAGCCTAATAGATGAAAAAGGGGTGCAAGGCTGGTCAACAAATAGAATCTGTTTACCCCTTAAGTCTTTGCCTAGGAGGCCTTCTACAAGACAGCAGCCGGATGCGTTTAACATCTGCCCAAGATGAGTATTTTTATCAAGACACCATGTCTAGCCTTTACTCAACCAAGAGCCCCAAGGCTTTTTTATGGGGTGTTTTATGTTGTAGTTCGCATCTCTTAGCCTTTGCCTAAAAAGGCGTATCCTACAAGGCACCAGGAAATGAAGCAGATTGTACTGGGTTACATGTTACCATTAGCAGGATAAACCTGACCTGACAGGAATTGTTTTATGAAACACTGCAAAATGAATGAAAGCCTTGAGGAGGCAAATTTACATTATAAAAATTGATTACTGCTGAGATCAGCAAGTTATTGTTCATTATTCCTGACAGTAAGTTTTTTGTCATTGTCTTTTTTTTTTTTTTTTTTATTTTACTTCACCTCCTCAAGGCCAAGAAGGCCACTACAAACGAGGAGGCTACTTATTTTGTGGGTATAACCCTCTCTCAACTCTATAACTCCGAAACACGAACCTTGACGAACAAGGCCGCTGCGCGGAGAAATGAGTTGAGCGCGGTACTACCAGGGACCTGGTGGGGATCGAACTCGGAACCACTTGTTTATGAAGCGAGCGCTCTACCACTACACCACTACCGCATTTAAATTTCTGTATTAGTGTGTTGTTAGTTATTGCTCAAATCAGTCATAGTTATTTTCTTTCAGTGAGTTATTGGTGGCTGTTTACAGCAACCTATAGCTCACTGAAAAGTACTTTAAGTTTAAGTCACTAACTCACTCAAAGTACTTTTTTGTAAAGTACCGTTTTGGGTGAAGTACCGTTTTGGTTTGTAAAGTACCGTTTTGGTTTGGACAGCAATAATTATTATTGTTGTAATTATCATCATTATTGCTATTATAATTACATATTTATCATTTTTTTAAATGTGTTTATTTGATATTTATATTTATTTAAAATTTTTATTAACAACAACCCTAGCAACAACATTATTATCTTTGTTAAGTTATAATATGGCCCATTAACACTTCCTTTAGTCATCACAAACCAACATTTTAAAATATGCTAAGGTTAATTATGCCAGATTCACTCAATGTGTGAGAAAAACTAGATAAACTTTTTTTGAACATAATAAAAATAGTCAAGATGACTATTTGTGTAATAAAGTTTTTTACTCATTTTACATCCAAGATCATATACATTCTATCAATTGAACCTGCATACTTTTCAGCTTTTTTATTTTTAAGAAAGTTTTTTTGCAAAATCTACAATTGACAAAAATGCCATTTTCTACTAGTTATCCATTGTTTTAAAAATTTATTAATAAAAATTATTATTTGACACAATCGACTAAAATTGCTTGGTGCAACTGGAGCATCACTCATATTCTAAAGGTTTTTTGTTTAAAAAAATAATTTAATATATCAAGCTTAAAACAGTTTATTTATTCTTGCAGATTAAGATTAACGATGTACTAATATATTTAATCAAGGACAGAATTTCTTACAAAAAAGAAAACAAAGGATATAAAAAAAATTATTTTTAAAAAATATTAGAAAATTAAAAAAAAGTGCCTATCAAATAAAAAAAAAATTTTATAACAAATATCCTTAATATGTAGATAAGAAACACACTGTTTTATTTTCAACCAACAGAAAAAATAGTTTAAGGATTAAATGAGTGGAAAAAACCAATGAACCAATAAATACTCAATAAACCAATGAACCAATGAATACTCAATAAACCAATGAAACCATGAATACTTAATAAACCAATGAACCAATGAATACTCAATAAACCAATGAACCCATGAATACTTAATAAACCAATGAACCAATAAATACTCAATAAACCAATAAACCAATGAATACTCAATAAACCAATGAACCCATGAATACTTAATAAACCAATGAACCAATAAATTCTCAATAAACCAATGAACCAATGAATACTCAATAAACCAATGAACCCATGAATACTTAATAAACCAATGAACCAATAAATACTCAATAAACCAATAAACCAATGAATACTCAATAAACCAATGAACCAATGAGTACTCAATAAACCAATGAACCCATGAATACTTAATAAACCAATGAACCAATAAATACTCAATAAACCAATAAACCAATGAATACTCAATAAACCAATGAACCAATGAATACTCAATAAACCAATGAACCAATGAATACTTAATAAACCAATGAACCAATAAATACTCAATAAACCAATGAACCAATGAATACTCAATAAACCAGAGATTATTGAAAGATTCAAAATTGAGTATGTGAAAAGACTTTTAAAAATTTAAAAAAATACTAACTTAATAAAAAAACTGTTGTTGTTGTGGCCTAACAATAATTCAAATATCAAAGTTTGTTGAATCAAATTAAACAAACAGTGTAAACAAATTTAACCAACAGGGAAAATACTTTTAACCAATAATGCAAACAAAACTAATACAATAGAACGTTGGGACAAAAACAATAAGACAAACATTTTAAATCCTGAAAGCAAATATTGCCAAATTAAGTGTGTTTTCATGCTTGCAATAAAAAAACACATTAACAAAACAGATTATGTAATGACTTGTAGTGAAAGTAATGAAAAATAGAGTAAGTAATCATATAAAATTGATGTCACAAATTAAAATATTGTTTTAACATTTTTAATTGTACTTATTTGCTTTTATTATTCTAATATAAATATTAGAATGTAGAT